ATTAAAGAACTCATAACTTAAAAGTAATCAAGTACAAACCATGATAATTTAAGCCTTGCTATTTTTGCATATTTTTCTTATCGTTGTTACAAAAATAGTGATATGTCCGCTATTACTTAAAATACATCAACATTAAAAAAAAATGTATATAACTTTCAGTATATCCCAGAAGAAAATTATGAGAATAAAAAAAATCCAGGTAAAATTCGAAAATATAATAAATTATGTTTCTTTATATTAATTCTTTGAACGAAAAAATATAAAACTATTACCCTATTTTTATCCTATAAGTAGAAAACGTTTTTTTAAGATTGGACTCAATCTCTCCATGTTATTAATTTTTATAATTTTGATGTATTTTTGGTAATCAACTCTGGTAAAAACAAAACAATTAATCTACCTCATTTGCAACATTTCATGCTGTACAATCAGCTAGTCATAGTTTTTAAGAAATGTAATTAATTTTTTATATAATGTAATATAATATATATTTGACCAACAGTTATGTATATAAAAAAAATAAGTATTTTAAAGACATATGTACAGACTATATTTTTATACAAATTATAGTATTATTTATATCAGACAGTTGTTTTAATTTCCAGTGAATAATTTTTTCCAGTGGAGTCGTGGATTGCCTGACGTAGCTCGACGACGAAGTATCTTCCCATACAACACACCAAATCCCAGAGATATCCGCAGAATATCTTTTGTGGATATCCAATATATCCACAGGATATCAGAAATATTCCGTGGATCTAATATGGATATCCAAATGTCCGTCTATATCCAGGATATAGAAGATATCCTAATGGATATTCAGCAAAATATCTAATAGGTATCTTCCAGAAAATACAAGAAATCACAGAGATATCCACAGAATATATTTTGTGGATATTCAATATATCCAATATGGATATCCAACCAAATGTCCGTCTATATCCCAGGATATAGAAGATATTCGGATATTCAGCAAAATATTTTATGGGTATCTTTAGATAAGTAACCAATGATTATTGAATAACGTCGAAAGAAAATAGCAGAGATAAAAAATATTTTCAACACTCTGCCTTTGATTTTGCCCACTAAGGAGAAAATCATCCTTATTAGGATTCTTCAGCAATAACTGAAAATTCTCGACTCCAGTCTCTAATGGAGTGATTAGGACACACATTTCGATCGAACTCATTTACGGCGGGTCAAGCATGAGTAGATGCGATAGTGGTATCGCCATCTATACTTAGTAAGCAGACTTTGATATATTTAGTGGATGTTCATGGGATATTGAATACACCTTAAAAAAAAATAATTTTAAATATCTGAACGGTACTATTAGCCACATTGGCGTAATTTTTTAATAATTTGCTATATAATAACTATTATTTATGGACATTTGCATGTCTATAAATTACATTTCATGGATATAAAATAGATATCTACCATGGACTGGACATTCAGTGGATATTGGGATGTTCAGTAGATATCCAAAGGATTTGGTGTGCTGTCTGGGTAGGCGGCCGCAATAAGATTGAGTCCCGCGTCTCCATGGAAATATAGTGGGACACGCGCTATCGAGCACGTCTTGCAGTCGGCTAATTGAGGTGCAGATCGGGGCGCATTTTTTTCGCGGCGAACCAACAGCATTTATAATTTCGATTTGAGGTGTCAGGCGACTGTTTTGCTTTTTTAAAGTTGTTTTATAGTGTTCACGGAATTTTTACGGAGCACCATGCTAAATGATTGACTAAACACCTTAGCTATATCAATAAAAAGAAATTTAGTTCTGGAGATAAATAACTTTCGACGAAAAAGTCATGAAACATTTTATTGCAATGAGGGATCGTACAGCAGATTTCAATTTCAGGATGTGAGTCATGTCATGAACATTCGTAAAAATAAAAATTAAAAACAATATAAATATGTCGATTGTTTTTTTTTTTAATAATTATTTTTGTAAGATGTTTTACACTATAAGAAATATATTTCATTTTGTGTATTGACTATTGACAATAAGGCGCAGTGTGCAGTGTGGTATTTTTTCTATGTTAATGAAAAAATATAAAATACATAAATAATAAATTTTCCATAATCCCCACACTCAAGGCAATTGGCGCCTCCCCCCACCTTCGCAGCTCATGAGCCGCCATTGAAAATGTCTTATTTTGTTTAAAATGAATTTACTGAACCATTTAATACAAAATAAAGATATCAAATTATTATTTAGAATCATTTGTATTTATGTGCAATTTTAATAATTTACTAATTATAAACAAATATTGTATTTAATATTTTTACTTTATATTTTTTTGTATACCTACTATCATTTTTAAAAAGGGAAAATACTTTCTGACTACCTAAAAATATAAAGGGTCTTCCATTTGAAATAACAAAGGTTTCCTATATCTGAAAAAATAATCACTTATTTTTAGTCTAGGGCGGCACCAAGCTGAATTTTCGGTGGGGGGTCATGCAAATAATTTTTTTATCAGGTCCTTAAACAGCGCCGACCTTTTTTTTTTGGTGGTCAGCCTCAAAGATAAACATAAGGCGCATGTACAAACGACTAGGGAAGACTTTTTATTTAGTCCCCCAAGTCTTATTACTTTTGCACGGTATAAATAGCATTTTTGAAGACTTTCAAAATAGTCCAGGATCCGTAATTAAGGGCGACCTTCACCCATCTGTTTAATGGATAAAAGTTTTTTGTTATTAGATAAAATATGTTTTTAAATATACTGCAAATGGGTTGCCTAAGAAAATACGGTCACGGCCATTTTTTGCTTTCCTTTCTGTGTAAGATAAGGAAAGTATAGAAATCATGATAAAAGTTGCTTATGATGTCATTCTCTATTATTTTGTCCTTATACATGATTTCCCTAAAATGGACCTAATTCGAGATATTTGAGGATATGTGCAAATTTCGAATTTTGAAGACAACTCAAAAACGGATAAAGAGTAAAACACCAAATTTTAAACTTAAGCTTTAATCTATCCTGTAGTGAGCTGATTAAAGTTTGGGCATAGTCCAAGCATCTGGGGAATACTTTACAGGGTGTCGTTCTTTTTATTATAAGAAAATAAATAGTCTGGACCGTATTTTCTTAGGCAACCCTTTTACGGTATATTTATATAAACATATTTTATTTAATAAAAAGAAACTTTCATCCATTAAACAGATGGGTGAAGGTCGATCTTACTTCGGATCTTAGACCAAAAGGAGACTCATGGATTGAAACAATTTTATCACCGGGGGGGGGGGGGGGGAGGCATGGTCCTTGAAACCCAACACGAAACGCTGTACACCCCCCACCCTAGTTTTCAGTGTAGAAGTGACATATGCCAAAAAAACTGAATTATTTTTGAAAACCAGACATTGATATTTAAAATACTTTTTGAGATACAAAGCATTTTAAATGGGTTTAAATATACTTGTCTACCCTGTGTTTTACAACTACTTATCCTTACATTTTATTATCAGAAACTACGTTTTCTTTAGTTTCTCTAACATCTCTCTTCACCTTTAATATTCCAGGGTTTTCTGAGTAATAGGTACCACTGATTTTTGATAGTTTCTATTCTTTTAATTCATTTCTAACTCCTGTCATCGTCTTTTATTCATTTTTGCCATTATTCCGATTCACAAGGTTTGCTAATACTTCCTTAACACAGTTTGCATAATAAATGAAAATATCACAAAGAATTTGCTGGGACACTTTCATCTTCTTGTTCACATACAATGTAGTGGATCAAAATACTAAATTAGCATAATTTGTATTATACATGGCTTTACAAAAATAAAATGATGTAGAAAAGAATAGCAAGGAATTGTAGTATCTAGACTTGTATCCTCTTAAGAGATACGTAATTTTATACAAACTTAAAATTGACAACACAAGGACGTAAACCAAATTAACATCCTAGATCAGGGTTCAGCAAATAATTTTAGGTGGGGGTCTGGATACTTTTGAAAACATTTATCGAGGTCCAGAAATGTTTTTTTTTTTTTTAATTTTTGCTCATAAAATAATATGAACTTAATGAAAGAAATTACATTTGCTCTTGAGTTAGTTTTTAAAGTTAGGTCGAGGGGAGCAGCTTATGAGGAGTGTTTTCAAGGTGGGCAGCCGTTAATATTGAGAATTATTGGTTATTCAAACAATTCATTTTTAAAAATGAAATTTCATAAATATAGCCAGGCAAATGGATAACTTTTTGCAATTTCCATATTTTCTGGGACATGTTTACTCCAAAATTCTTCAGTGGATGCAGTTGTATCAGTATGCAAGGAAATGTCTTCCTGCAAGTCTATTATCTTTATTTGTGCTTTGAAATGTGAAACTATTTCACATCCACATTAGTCCAGTCTCTATATCTGCAGTCTTGGAAACTTGGTGAAAATTCCTTCCTAAGATCTGACATGAGATTTGAAAATTCTGCAATGTTTAATTCAAAGATATCTGGCTTGCCATGGAAATAAGACATACTTTGTATCAGAGCACATATTAATTTTCCATTTTAAACACAATAAAATGTTTCAGGTCTTTCAAAAAAGCCACAGTAAGCAAGCATATTGTGTTCATCTGCTAGGAACTCCAATTGTTTCCGTGCTTTTTGTGTATCTAAGTTTTCTATGAAGAACCTTACTTCTTTTATTTCCAAAAAAACGTTCAATTACTTGACCTTTACTTAAACAAAGAACATATTTATAGTGCACAATTCGCCAAACTCTTTGAATTGTCTGCTGAAGACGAGAATGAGGCCTCATAAAATTAATCAACTCGATCAAGCTATTTATGATGTTTGTCAGAGTGACACTAAGTTTTCCACAAAGGGTTGCCTGATGAATTTTTAGTCTTCTAGTTTTTGACCTTTCACAATCCAGACATGGTTCCACGGTCTGCTCTGCCAGTTGCTGACAACTGTATATCTAAATATTTATATCTAGTATATCAGAAAAGTACTGTTGGGCGGTTAACAGAATGAAATGTTTCAAGAATAATGTTGAGTTTTACTCTTTCATTAAAATACAATGGCTATTAATCAAACTACATAACCAATTTTGGTGAGTAAAAAAAGTTTATCAATAATTAATAAGTGCATTTAAGACAATATAAAACCATAAATATGTATTTAAAATGCTTCAGATATTTAATTTAAAGTGAATTTAACACAAATAAAAAATATTAAATCAATCCACAGGGTTTTGAACCACTATTAGAATAAATTCTTTATCTGGAGCTACCATTATTTCATGTTTTTTTGATCTAATTCTTAAAAATGTTAGATCATTGGAAGGATCCAAATCTCTGACTACACTTCTTGCTTTGTCAGCCAAAGAACTTATCAATCCTGCATATTGTACTGTTGTGGTGTTATCCAGAGTAGTTTTAATGGGAACACCTGTAACAATTTTAATGATTTCGAAACGTCATCCTTGTGCTAAAAGATCCTTACCTTCTGAATTAACTATGATAGTTCCTACAATACCCTTGTGGGACTGAATTCTTTTCATAGTTTCTTCAACTTCTTGTGCCTGAAACAATTGAAAATATTGATGAGTTCATAAAAAAATATTTAAAATATCATTACCATTTTGAATACTTTTCAGAAGTTTTCCAAATATTAAATATTTTCTTTTTTTGATAGATTCTTTACCCTTTTTCGATCAAACTTCAAATAAATGTCAAATGAAATGAGGTAAGAAAAATGAATCATGCCCTCACAGAACACTTACTCTTAGAACGGTAACTCCCATGTTAAAAAAGGATGATAGAGTTTTTAGCGGCACCTGGTGGACGTGGTTGATTTTTTTTCAATTAAGTCCTTGTCTGGTAAGGGGCCATATGAAAGAAGAGAAAATAATAAAAAGAAGAAAAGCGCGCGGCTATTCAAATTTGACAGTAAAAATTATCCGCATTAAAAACTGTTAGCCAAATTAAGATTTGTTCACACAAATTGCATTTTTGCTTTATTATAGCGATATTCGCTATAATAAAGCAAAAATGCAGTTTGTGTGAACAAATCTTAATTTGGCTAACAGTTTTTAGATAAAAAAAACAAGAATATTCAAAAAATAAATTTATTAAAGAATATATATAATACAAATCCAATATTTAAAAAATGTAATGTATATGAAAATTGTATTATGTATGAAGTAGCTGGATGGCTGCTACATATTCCAGGATACAACACTGTCCATCATTTTGTGAAGAACTTTAGCTGTGAAAAAATAAAGACAGTATAAGTACAATCTCATTAAAATAAATGTATTAATAAAAAATTATAAGTCCGAAGAATACTTTATTTTTTAATAAGTCCAACATCTACGATACAGCTTTGCAACCCCAAACGTCATGAAACACAAATTTCACAGTATATGCAGCGTTTAAGAATCCACATCGGATGCAACTGAGATGTAGTAAATCTTTGATCACGTGATTCAATTTACGTAAATGTAATGGGACAGATGTGTCCGATTTAAAATAAACTATTTGAGGCGCTGTTCTCCACATCTCGGCAAATGGACTAAAATAATAATTTATAATACTCTTAATATTACCTTATTTTAATTATTGTGCCACTATACTGTATTTGCTCAACCAGAATGAGTTGCAATGATTGCAAAAGTTGCAGAATAGAGGTCTGAGGATAATACTGAGCTGTTCGAGATTGGAACCAATCAATTCCATGTTGAATGTGCTTCAGTGGTTGACTGTTAAAAAATATTTGCTATTCTATTCCCTGCTTTTTATATTTAAAATTAAATTAGGAATCTCCAGAGTATATTTACAAAATATTTTAAGTTATAATCAGGATGTTCATGAACCTAAACAGGTAACAAGAAAAATGTACACAAAATTCAGTGTTTTTTAAAGGTGTACAGGCTTTTAATAATTTGCCTGAGGATATTAAATGTTCTTCAAATGTGGCAATATTTAAAATAAAACTGCATGAATACCTGTTCACCTATTGACGTTTTTTTTCTCTTTCTTGTTCTTTTATTGTTTTGTATAGTTGACATGTAAGTGTACTGTATCTTATGTATTTTTTATTGCATTTTAAATGTATGTTGATTCTATATTTATGTATTTTTTATATTTTAAACGTGAAGATGTATTGACATGTAAAAAATAGTTTTTTTGACTAAATAAACGTTTTATATATAGGTATGTGGATAAAAAAACGCTCGAGATGTAAAAAATGCATCTGATGTGGATTCTCAAACACAGCAATAAGTATAAAATAAATAAGTACTAACTTTCCTTCTCGAAAAGAAGTCCAACATATATTATTAGTCTGCTTCTTCTTCTACGATACAGCTTTGCAAACCCAAATGTCATGAAACAGAAAATACACAGTATAAGTATAAAATAAATGAGTAGATTACTAACTTTCCTTCTCGAAAAGAAGTCCAACATATATTATTAGTCTGCTTCTTCTTCAAACCTTTACTTGAAGTAGAAGGTGTTTGATCAACATATTCAATTTCTACGTTATTTGAGGAAAGTCCATCCGCTACTCTTCCAGGAACTGCTGGTAGGAATAGCGTTGGAAATGCTTCAGGTGTTAGACCTCGACGAGAGCCAACTACTTTATACTTCTCTTCAAAATGTTTATGACATACTACAAAGGTGGAATAAATTTGTAGTCTTGTTTTATTATTAAATCTTGGACAACGAACAGCAAGTGCACAAATATCAAATAAATCGGGTGAATTCGTAGGGTGAGGCAGGCGATGCATCTTGTTGTCCACAACAAGGCAATTCGGTACACATTTTCTATAATTACGCATCTTTATGAAAAACCACAAAATAACAGCGGAAAAAGCACAAATTTATAATGGAAAAACAAGCTTATTAACAGTGGTCAACTAAATCAATTAAGCAAATTGGAAATGAAAACAACTGAATACAACAGTCACCAATATAAATAAACAAAGTTTACGTTTGGTTATAATATGATGTCTATGGTTTAAGCAAAGAAGTAGAGAGGGTAGAACGATAAGGTACCGTCTGCGCATCTATCACGAGTGTAGAAATTATGCGTGATTCAGCCCACAATATATCCCCTATAGTAATGTAACTGGGATTCAAGAAATGGCTTTGAGTTACGCTGCGGCCAGACACAGGTCTCATGGCGCTAGTATCGTTATTGATTTTTGACTTCGGCACGTTCATTGGTTGACGACGAATTCAAAACAATCTGATCGGAGCGTTACTCACTCCCACTCCTTCTCTTTGTTTAGATACTTATAAAAGAAAGAGATACCAGTTAATAATTTCTATTTCGAATCATCTTTCATTCTTTAGCGTTGAGTTTTTATAAGTGAAGCGTGAAGTGTCAGTGTTGACAAGTGATAATTTTTTGATTTTTTCTTCTACGAAATTTAATATTAATTTTGTTTCAGCGATATTTATTGTGATTTGTGTTGTTGTATTAAGTGCTTTCTTATTTAATATGGGAAACAAAACGTACAACAAACTCAGAAAAAGAGGAATCGAGGAGGGATTGCTATCTATGGCTGTCATCCAAGGGTCTGCGCCCTAGATAATACTTTTCCAGTGGGAAAAGCCTTTAAAATTCAAGTATAACAATTTTATGTTTCCGTTTTCCCTTCTTTTAATGTAGGTGCCAATTTTGAGGTAAGTTTGTAATAATTTTTCAGTTAATACCTACCCTCTTAATATTATAATTTAACTATGATCTTATGCTTTCCTATGGACACGATTCAAGGAGGGAGTCCTATGGCTGTCATCCAAGCCCTAGATAATAGTTTTCCAGTGGCAACAGCCTTTAAAATTCAAGTATAATAATTTACTTTTTCGAAGTAGATGTCCATTTAAACTAAATTTTTTTATTTCACTTATTGATTTTAGCATTTATATACAGTATCGGCTAATGAACACTTTCCAATACGCTTGGCTAGAATCGAAAATAAAACTAAAGAGTTAGCGCATTAGTTCAATCAGGAAACGAATAATATGAATGTTGCCTTGTGTGCTGTGTAATATGAACAGGCACACGGTGTGATGCATCCCCACGTAGCCGGCTGGCTACGTTCATAGTATTCTATTCCTTCTCTCACTAATGCTAACTCTTTGTAGTTTTTACTTGGACATTAGCAAAACTTATTGTACAACATTCGATAGCTGCCACTGTATTATCACAAACATCTCTTAATAACTAAATGATTTCATTTAATAGTTTCTTTTTTTTTTTCAGTAAAATGGATATGGCTAGAGTTATCTTCGTCTTTAAAATATATTAAATAAGTTTTATAATTTTTCAAATAAAATACTTTATACAATTTTTTGTTTTTTTACCAGAGCCAATTTTTTTTCAGATCTAACCTCTATAGGTAAAAAATAAGTGATTTAGGTAAAATTGAAAAGTATATTACATGTTCTTTTAAATGTGTTGTTAATCCAAATGCTGCTCTTATTGTAATAGCTAATAATAAAAGTATTAGTATTATTTTTAGCTATCAAAATAAAAATAGCGCCTGGATTTACAGCTCGTTTAATCGAACATGCAATATACTTCTCAATAATTATTGCCGAATGAATATATTTAAAAATTCCCGCCATTCCGCGGCTGAAAATTTACAATTTTGGCGGGAAATTTAAATTTCGCCTTTAAATTATATTTGAATTTACCGCCATATCGAGTTAGTTGAGCGGCCAGACACAGACGCATTCTTGCGCTGCAAACTTAGTGCCAACTCTTTAACAAGTGAGATGCACTACTATAGGGGATATATTGTGATTCAGCCTTCCACTCTTACACACGTAAATGACAAGGAGAGGTTGCCCTAAAGCACTGTAAACAAATTCCAGGATCGACTTTATTCAGCGATTATGTTCACGTTCAGCTCTGTTTTTTGTTTGTGTTTTGGCTGTTGTTAGCTTTTTTGGCGTCAATTATTTGTTATATTGCTTAGATTTGTGATTTTTTATGCTTTTATTCCGATTTAGTATTAAATTATATTTGTTAATTATTTTTCGATGCACTATTTTGTAATTGCTGCACAAAATGTTGTTAAACCGTCCCTGAATCTTGTTTACAAAATGTGCAAAACGAAATTGTGCATAGTGTCCAGACTTTTTCATTGACAGTTATCATTCTACCCCTCTCCACTTCATTGGGTTTAAGCCAAGACGCCATGACACCCCCACAAAAATCAATATTCACCTGTCATTTACACTCCCACCACCTACCCCACCACCCGACTGCAGCGCCACGCGGACGTGGTTGATTGATCCCAGGCCTGCGCATACCAGTTTCCCACCCCTGCATGCCCTCCCATGGAATATGGGAACCGTGCATGGAACAATAATTTTAGTAGGAGGTCTGTTCGTTTATTCAAAGCTATAACAATGCGGGTTTGCTTTGTAAAAGTCTTCGTAGAGAGAAATATATGTCAAAAGTGCAATTCAAACTTTTGTTTGACTTGAATGATCTATAATACATATTTACAGATTATTGTTTGATGTTAGATTTCAATCGTTATGTAAACAGTAAAGTAAGGAGGCTTTAAAAAAACTCTTGAAACGCTTTTTTTACCCTTGATTAACCGATCATGCCTATCACACAAAAGTACAAAAATTTCTGTCACAAGTCAAATCACAAAACACTCACATCTGTCACCGTCATCTGTTATTTTTTTGGGTTTTTTGGTTATGAAAATTTACATTTACTTTTACATTTTACATTTTTTCAAATTAGAAACAGCAAAGTACGGGGTCAAAGTCTAAAATATTTAGGTCTACTTTGAACTTCACTTATTTATATATATTTACGTTTATTCGGTGTAAATCTAAATAGATCAAAATGGCTTTAAGTTCTGCAAGAAATATTGTAAAAAGTCCAATTACTTTAGGACTTACGAAGCACCAAAGTAGTAAGTTGAGAAATATGATTTATAAATTTAATATCCAATATCTCTTTTCAGATACTTTAAGGACATTTTCATTGGGTGTGCAGCTCAAACAAAAGAAGACTTTGACTCCAAAAAATGGTCAGAATATTGTTTTAGTTGATGGGGTTCGAACCCCTTTTTTGATGTCCGGTACAGATTATTCAAAGCTCATGCCGCATGAGTTAGCCCAACAGGCACTTAGGTAATTTATTACATAAATCCTTTGGAAATTTCTAATTTTGTATCCCCAAAGTGAAAATTAAAAAATCTGTCCCAAGAAGGATTCGAACTTCCCACATTCTCGTGCTTTACCAACTTGGCAATCAGGACATTAGATGTCCAAAGTCTATACCTATTATTAATTTGAATATTAGATTCGAATCTGTCTTTCTCAATAAGCCACTAATAAGCATCATCTATACATAACATACAGAAGACGAAAATATTCTGTCACTGAGTTAGATCTAATTTTCAAATTACCAAATCCGACTCTGGGCACTCATGTTCTGATTGCCAAGGTGGTACAGTAGCATGCATTGAACTAGAATGTGAAGAGTTCAAATGCTTCCCAGGTAAACATTTTTTCAATAAATTTGTTTACACTTTGTTCAAAAATAGTTTTCATTATTTGGTCTGATAAATTTGAAAAATATATTTGGGAATTTCAAAAAAAAAAAAAATGTGTATATATTGTTTTTGGATTCCACCTATAAATTTATTAACTTGGGTTTTAGAAAAGAAATGGTTAAAGCCATAAAGCCTGCTTTACATATTAAGTTTTCAGGAGCCAAGTAGTATTTTTTCCTGTTAACAAATTAGATTTATGATATAATATATTATAACAATCTAGAAACTATTCTGATATAAAACTGTTGGTACTTCCAAATCTTTCTGGCAGGCACCTAGGGGCATAGCAAGGGGAGTCGCAAGGAAAATAAAAAAAAATATGGTCCATTATAACTTCATATAACATATGAACATAATTCATAAAAGAAACGTATTCTAACATTAACACTAGTTTTAAAATATATAGTTGAAATATCAAATTAAAAATAAATTCATCTATATATGTTTTTAAATTGAAGAGTACCAAAATTTATATTTTAAGATTATTAAAAAAAAAAAAAATAGAAACATGATAACTGCCAACACAAACTGTGTAGGCTGTTTCAGCATCATTTTAAGCCATTTCTTTTACTCCTAGTAGGTCATTCATTGTAAACATTTTTGTGCGATGGATTTGTTTAGGTACAATTTGGGAAAGCAATATCAATGCAAGCGACAGGCAGTAAACACTGCTTTCATGTCTCTTGCATCAGTCGCGCTGTCCCAAATGTAATTCATTAAATTATATTTAATTCAGACATAAGAGACACATTTCGATCGCCTTGCGCGTCGTTTACCTCTGTATTCTGTCTCAGTCTCGCGTTCACAAATGGTACCTTTAGATAAGGTATCATTGAAATCATTTTTTTTTTTTTTCAGAAATTTTGTTCTTTGGCGAAAGTACATGTAGTTTGACTTTTCTTAAGTCATTCAGAGATTTACCTTTTTTTAAAATATTGACTTGAATAAAATCTGCAAGGTTGTCCTTGTTTTCACAATCTTCTGTTCTTTACTAAAACATCCACTACCATTACTTTTATGAGTTTTTACATTATGGTCGTTCATAATGTTTTAAAAACAACAAACAAGTCTGAAGTGTGTATTATTGTGAACTGATAGTAGAATGGCAAACACAAAACATGGTGAATGGCACTTGTCACCTTTCTAAGGAAATAGATCAAGCACTTAACAGTGGCTCCATCTTGGGACGTTTATACTAAGCGTATTAAGAATATTGGCACTCAACACTTTTGTCAGGACATAAACAGTGGCACATAGCACCTTTCTATGAGTCTAACTCAAAATTAAAAAGTAAAAGTTGAGCTAAAATATAAATAAACTAAAAAAAAATGTTCTTTTTTATATTTGTTACAATGTATTATGTCCTCATTTTTATTACAAGCCTTTTATTTTCACATTATAACAATAAAATTAAAAAAATCTCTTATACTTATTTAAGTTTAAAATACTTTCAGTGGCATACTTAAAAAGACTGGTGTTCCAAAGGAGGTTATTGATTATGTAATATATGGCACTGTGATGCAAGAAGTAAGAACTTCCAATATTGCACGAGAAGCTGCGCTAGCTGCAGGTTACAGTGACAAAACACCTGCACATACTGTAACTATGGCTTGTATTTCATCAAATGTAGCAATAACATCAGGTAATTGAATTAATATTGTGTTTTTGTATGGAAAAAACTCCCATATTCATGACTTAACATTTGATAGCAACCAGTTGTCAGAAAAACATGTCTGAAAATCAGTATAATTTGGCAAGGGTAAGGTCAAAAATATGTTTTAATGTCATTAACCTATTCGCGGTGGGCAGCCCACTGCTTCTGTAGCTCATGCTGACAATTTTCCAAAGTATTATAAGATACTGTAAAGGACTTCGAAAGACACTGTTTGCCTCGTACTACACAAGCAGTGGGCATCTTTCAACACTGCCCACAGCGAAAGGGTTAATAATTAGAACTCAAATGGACAAGTCTAATATTAAAAACGTATTAATGTATGGTTATCAAGCTGTTTAATCATATTTTTTGATAATGTTTTTCTATGTAGGAACTTTTATAAAGAAAATTATAATGAATAAAGTTTTCCAATTGTTTCCATCATTATGCTAGACACTGTAAATTAAGTCTCATAATAGGGCTTAGAGTTGTTGAAAAAGTAATTATTCATTAACATTTAGAAAGATCCAAAAGGAGTACCCAGTATACATAAATACAAATGTACCTACCTATATCCATTGATGAATAGGGTTTGCACATATGTTTACTTTAGGACCTCATAAATTATACTTTAAAGAATAAAAATAGTTATTCTGCATTATATTTTTTGTATGATTCTACAATAAAATAATGCATACTTTTATTTTCAACCCTGCTAAGAATGTGTGCCTTACAAATCAATTTTATGGTTCTTAGAAAACATTTTTAAAGGACAAGTGGTTTTATTGAAAATATGCATTTTTTCCCTGTGCAAGTATATTGTTTATTTAAATTTAAGTTTAACTTCTGAGTTGAGAGTTTGCCGGTGTACTGAATATTTATAATGTTTATTTTTGTTGTTGTGGTATCCCTAGAGGTTCGCCTCTGCCTATCAATGTTTTAACAAAATTTTTGTTTACAAAATTCCTTAACAATGAGCCGATAAAGGGGAGAGACACCATCGTCTTGAAAGTATATCCCAGCGACACCTACATTCCCAATATCTAACAACACAGGCAAAATAGTTTTAAGAAAATCTAAATAAATTCCACCAGTTTACCGATGAAATAAAGAACACGTCACCTGATATTGAAGAAATATTTGTAATTATATGTGTTTTTATTATTTGATAGTCTTAAATACGTTAAATACGGATTAGGTTTACTGGGGATAACACAATAAAAAAAAAGTAAAAATTTTAAATGATCATTATACAGGACGTTAGAAATGATTGTGATATTTGGACTCTAATACGGACCTGTAATTACATTGTGTAGTGATGGACTTGCTAACTAGAACCAATTTAATCTGTAGCTTTTAAAAATTTTATTAGGTTAAATAATCTTAATTTATTTATTTATCAACGAGCAATTGCCCAATTAAAATACAGTTTAATAAAAGGGAAAATTTAAAACCTAACCTACACTTAGAGAATGTTAAAACAAAGAAATACACATTAGCATAACATTAACATAAATAAGAAAAAATTAAATATTATAAAAAAAAAACGAACAAACAGGATAACAATTGTAAATAAGTTAAATTAAATTATCTAGACATCAAACTATCACATGCATGATTTAAGCTGGGTTTTAAAGCCTTTTTTATTATCAAAGCAGTCCAATCTATCAGAATATTGATTAGCAAATCTACCCGATCTTGATAGAAAAGAATTATGTCCATAGTTAGTCTGATGTCGTCTAATATTAAAGGGTTGAATAAGCCTTGTTTGTCTCGAAAGAACATGAATATTGATTTTTCCCAATAACTCTGGACTAAAGATATGCGAGTGTAGTATATTGTATAATGTGGTAAGATCCTTGTGCATGCGTCTGATCTGAAGAGTGGTGATATTAAGGGAACTCTCAATATTTGAGTAATTAATATCCTCGACTTCACGGTGGTCCTTAAATGAAATAAATCTTAAAAATTTATGCTGAACTCTTTCAATGGCTTGAATATGAACATTGTAGTGGGGGGACCAGACACATGAACAGTAATCTAAATGGGGCCTCACAAGTGAACAAAACAATATTTTAATGGATGATACCTCTAAAAAAACCTTAGCGCAGCGTTTAATAAAGCCTAGCATTTGAAGTGATTTTGAGACTGCCATTGATATATGGGGTACATAAGATAAGTTGGAATCGAGGACTACACCCAAATCTTTAACTTGAGATACCGATTCCAAAGGGCAACCATTAATATTGTAGATTATTTGTTCTGTGGGACTTCTGTTACGACTGAAGACCATTTGATGGCACCTTTTAACATTAAGTTCCATTCCATTGATTTCACTCCAGTTGCTGAGACGATCTAAATCAGCTTGCAGTTTTATGTAATCAGATTCGTTCTTTATTCTCATATATAATTTTAAATCATCCGCAAACATTAGGAATAGGGCACAGACAAAACAGGATGCAATATCATTCACATATAAATTAAATCGAAGAGGGCCCAAGTGTGAACCTTGCAGTACACCTGATGATACTTTAATTCCTAATGATTGGAAGCCCTGAATACGCACTATCTGTATCCTTTCAGTAAGGTAAGAAGATAGTCATTCAAGCAGTTCCCCCTGAATTCCCAAACTCTGCATCTTATTAATTAAAACTTTATGGTTAACCTTTTTTTTTTTTTCTGGGCTCGTCTGACTATGTGTCTCCGAATAACAATGAAGCCTATTGGCTTATTGTGTTTTACCCCATGTTAGTTCATAGCACCCACTCTATCACCTTTGTACCTTGTACAAGTTTGTACAGATCCTTGGGTGAGTGGGTTCTATACGTTGTTGGATCAACCTGGGGTTGTCCAAAAAGAACCTGTCTTTTGCGATCTAGAGCTTCGCATTCGCACTGTATGTGTTTGGCCGTTTCTGGTTTCTTGTGACATAGTCGGCACATGAGTTCCCCATTGTACATGCCAATTTTGTTCAAGTGTCCCTTTACTGGGGCGTGCCCAGTCATGAACCCTGTTATCACTTTCAACTGGTTCCTATTCATTAAGAGTAGTTCTCCAGTTCTTTTGGGACATGGTCTGCCTATGAAGGCTTTTCCATGTGCCTGTTTTGGGGTGCTTCCCCAATAGTTGATATGTTGTTCCCGAATCCAGTCATTTATAAAACCCCGGACTGTACTTGGTACTCCTGGGTTTGTGTCTGGTTCCGGTGTTTCTTCTGACCCTCTTTTTGCAAGTTCGTCAGCCTTTTCGTTGCCTTCGATCCCTTTGTGACCTGGCACCCAAAATAGTTTTACTCTATTTCGGTCTGCCAGTGTTCTTAGTTCTTCGATGCATTCCCATACCAGCCTCGACGTAACTTTCTGACTCGATATGGCCTTAAGTGCCGCTTGGCTGTCTGACATTATTTGAATATGCTGATTTTCGACAGCTCTTTTATTGTTCGTTTTTGCACATTGCAAAATTGCGTATACCTCGGCCTGAAATACCGAGGAATGTATTCCTATAGCATAGCTATGGTTAGTATCAGGGTTTTTGGAGAATACTCCTGCCCCAGTGCCTTCTGCAGTCTTAGACCCGTCTGTATACCAGGTTTGTTCCTGCCGTTGGGCATTGGGCTCCCTTATGGTGATCTCCGCTCTTTCCTGTATTAAAACCTCAAAGGGAGTATTAAAAGAGTACCTCTTGGTTATGTGGTCTGATCTCATGTCTAGCACGTCTCCTGTCACTAACCTTGAGATACTCATGTGACCTGGGCTAAGGTCAAGATTTCCCAGTGTATTCCCTAATCTGTAAGCACCTAATCTTGCCTCCCCTTGTATCACATAGTGAAGAGGTGAGAGTTCTATTAGTGCTTCCATTGCAGCAGTGGGGGTTGTTTTCATTGCCCCTGTTATTCCGAGGCAGGCAAGTCTTTGTACCTTGCTTAGCCTCGTTATTGCTTTCCTTTGCTGTGTCTTTGGCCACCACACCAAAGCTGCGTATGTTATTATGGGTCTCACCACTATGTTATAAAGCCAGTATACCATGTCTGGTTTTAACCCCCATTTTTTTTCCAAAGGATCGCCTTGCCAACATTAATGAGGTTTCCGCTCTCCTTGTGGTTCTTTCTAGATGCTGGTTCCGGGTAAGTCTCGAGTCAATCATAACCCCGAGATATTTTACCTCCCCCTTAAGCTGGATGCTTGCACCTCTTAGGTTTAGAGGCCCTAGTCCCTCCAATTTCCTCCTGCGGGTGAATGCAATTATGTCAGATTTGTTTGGGCTAATGTTTAGTCCTTCCGCCTCTGTCCATTTTGTTACTATATTTAGAGCCTCTTGCATTCGATCTCTTACTATAGTGTTGTATTTTCCCTGTGCCATGATCACTAGATCATCGGCATATCCCAGGGTTCTATGTCCCTTATCTTTGAGAGCCCTAAGCAGCCCGTCCACTACAAGGTTCCACAGGAGTGGAGACAGCACTCCACCCTGTGGACATCCTCTCGCTACCCGTGCTGCTGTTGTCTCTCCCATAAGGGTTGTGTGTATAGTTCTCTCCCTTAACATAGAGTCGATCCAGGACACGCATGTGTCCTCGATTCCTCTGTGTTTGAGAGATCTAATGATTGATTCAACGGAGGTATTGTCAAATGCACCCTCGATATCCAAGAATGCTCCCAGCATTACCTCCTTGTTTTCCAGTGTGTTCTCCACCCTTTTTATTAGTTGATGGAGAGCTGTTTCAGTTGATTTCCCTGCACTATAGGCGTATTGGTCTTGGTATATTGGCCTTTGAACTAATATCCCGTCTCTAATATGCCTATCTAGCAGTTTTTCTTAAGTCTTAAGTACGAAGGACATAAGACTTATTGGTCTTAGGGACTTTGCCGTTTCCTGTCCCATTTTCCCAGGTTTTAGTATAAAAGTTACCCTAATATTTCTCCAAGCTTTTGGTATGTGTCCAAAGGCCAGGCTACTTCTGAGTATGTTACAGAGTCTGCTGTATAAAATATTAGGACCTCTTTGTAACATTATTGGATAAATCCCATCCATGCCCGGTGATTTATATGGTTCGAATGAGCTAATTGCCCATTTCAGTTTATCATAGTTCACCACTTGTTTGGCTATCCTCCAATCTTCCCTGTTGGCTCTATTATGAGCTTCCAGTCCGTTTAGATTCTGGTTAGCCGTTGTGTGTGCTATGGTTTGTGCACCAGGGAAGTGAACCCTAAAGAGTTCCCTTACTGTTTCCTTCCCTGTGATTGTGTACTCCCCAAGTTCATTCTTAAGGGTGTTTATTGTGTGTTGTGTGTCTTTTGAGAGAATTTTTTGGAGCCTGGCACATTCTTGAGTGCTTGCTATCTCCTCACAGTACCTTCTCCAAGACTCTCTCTTGACTTTTCGTAAAGCTATGTTGTAACAGGTGCGTATGGTTCTATATAGTTCCCATTCGCCGGTTATTTTAGCCTTATTAAATTTTTGTCTCACCTGTTTCCTTAGTATAGCCAGGTCATCATTCCACTATGGAACTTTCCTGGTAGAGTTCCTTGCTATTAAGGGACAGATATCGTTGAAAGCGCTTGTGACTGTGTCATTAAACTCATCCAGAGCCATTTCTAGGTCGGTTGTTGTTCTTGTCGTCTTTCTCATCTTCGGAAGATTACATTCCAGGGAAGCATTGTATGCCTCCCAGTCTGTGCTTACGATAAGTGTCTTTTGCAATATTACCTTTAATATTGAAGTTTATGTGTCTGTGATCTGATAAACTCTCTTCGTCAGACACATGCCAGTCTGTAACAAAATTACTCAAGTATGTTGATGCTATTGTTACATCTAGTACATCCTTTCTGTTTTTTGTTATAAAGGTCGGTTTATTGCCTACATTTGTTATGTCTAAATTATTTGCCATAATAAATTGTAGTAAAGACTCACCTCTTTCGTTGGTATCGGTGCTCCCCCAGATCCTGTGGTGTGCTTTTGCATCACAGCCAATGATCATCTGCATTCCGTTGCGCCTGCAGAATCTCACCAGCTCCTCCACTTCTCTGGTAGGTGTTGCTTCAGGATCGTCTGAAGGTAGATATGCCGATCCGAGTATTACCTCCTTCGGTCCATTTCCTGCATCGATATTGATTCTGACTGCTGTCAAATCTCTGGAACAGAAATTAGTTAACGGCAGTATTTTTATGCCTTTTTTGACAATTATGCAGGTTCGAGGGGTGTCTGTGGATCTGTCATATATTAACTCTCCACCCAACCCTCCTAAACCTCTTATTGTACCGTGTCTAATCCACGGTTCTTGTACCAGGGCCACTTCAAACCTCCCCATCGCCACTGTAAGTACCGCCGAAGCAGCTTTACAGTGCTGGAGGTTGATCTGGATTATCCTGATCCTCGCCAGGCCGCCTTAGGACCCTGAAGGTCACCCTTCCTAGCTTATAATAGGCCCGGAATTGTGACCTCTCGAGGGCCCTGTACGACGCTTCGTCAATTGAAAAGGCTAGGAGTTGCCCTCCCTTTTCAATTTTTCTGCTCATTAGAAGCCAGTCCGGCGTCTTCAGTTCCGTATTCTGGAGCTGAAGAAGTCCCTGACTTTTTCAACCTCGGACTCGTCCGATATGAAAACCTGAACCCTGGGTCTTCTCGGGAGGTCCTTAGATTCAACCACGGTCAAATCCGCACCCTCCCAAAGGTTTACCAGAGTGCTGACCGTCCTCCTTAACCAGTCCGCGGTCTGCTGGTTAGCGCAGGTCATCCAAATGACCCCTGCGCTAAACGATGTTTTGTGGAACTGTGGTGCTCCTCCACTGCCTGAAGGGGTAGCGTAGAGCCTTTCCACAAGAGTTTCTTGTACCAAGTCTCCTTGTTCTTGGTCTAGAGTTGTATCTGGATGCCTTCTCTGGATGACAGCCAGTCGGATACACCTCAAAGTGTCGCTGTACGAGCCAGCCGATGCCGGAGCATTTCTGGCCCGCTTAGTTCCACTTCGAGTGGGGGGGAGTCTGCGACTCAGATCGGGGCCTTTTATCCCCTTTCTTCGTTTGGTCCTCCCTCCGTTGGGTTCGTTTTTGGGCTGCATTCTTGTGGGGATTTTCCTCCGTCCACGTTCCTGCAGCCATTTTTCTTTCCTTCAGAAGCTTCTTTCTCTCCGCTCCTGAAGGTTTTTTCGGTCTATCAGCAGGCTTAACCTCTGCTTTTTTGACCTTTTCTTTTGTTTGGGAGCAGTCGTCTGTTTTCACAGATCCTCCTCCCGCTAAGGGGTTAGAGTCCTCTGCTTTCGCAGTTCCTCCTTCCCTTGAGTTGTCGGAGTCCAAAGCTAACGCAATCTCTCCGACAGTCATGTTCAAGGAGCCTGAATCGTCTGTATCCGACTCTTCTACTTGGGTGTCCATTTTTTCTAAATTATTTTCACTCATTTGTTCCCACGAGTATGGGGGAAGGGGTTAGTCCAACTCTGCAGTGCCCCCCGTACAGAGTCAAGGCTAGATACTTGGGGGTTTCGCCCGGTTCCATGGTTAACCTTATCGAAGGCTTTTTTAAAATCTGTATACACAGCATGTACTTGATAACCGTCCTCTAGGGATTCCAAGAGATAGTCAGTAAATGTTAAAAGGTTAAGCTCTGCTGTATTTGTTTAAAGGAACAAAAATATCAATTGTCAGGTACACAATGTCATAAAAGATATTAATCATATCCACAAGACTTGTTCTCGAATAAAACATCCCAATTAAACTGGGAAAGAAAATTTGTCACTTCCTCCACATTAATTGAATGGAACTTTAATTTAATGTAATAGAAATAATAAAAACCCTTCCTATTCCAATGTTTACCCTAGAAATGCTAAGAAATACTTTGAATTTACAGTTTGAGTATTAAAATCGTTTGCCTCCAAATAAAAACTGGAATAAAGATATAATACTTGGCATTCTATATTATACTCCCCAGTTTAACAGACCCCTCCCCTTAACACCCATTTTCAAACAAATTTTTTTCAACCCCTTATAAGGCTTGATTTTTCCTGAAGATTTCAATTTGATATAATTTTTTGTCTCTTGTCCCCCCCCTTCTAGAGTTTGTTTTTTCATGAAATTTTCAAATTCAATTCGTTTTTTGTTTTTGACTTTTCGTGCGGAGAAAAACCGTCACATCGGACGGACGGAACCAATTGCATAATACTTTTTAGAAACTACTTTGTGAAGAGTATAATAATATCGTTTGATTCAGTTTTATGTGCTCTTTTCAAATATGGGAACAAATTAAGAAATCATATATGCAAGCTGTTATTTCAGGGTGAAAGAGTTTGTGTATTTCTAGCTAAGCCGGTTCTGGATTCTTCTACTTTTTAATGCATTGATATTAAGATATGGATGACAATTATACCAAGCATCAAAAAATCAGCGAGGTTGTTCTCAAGTTATGAATAAGAAAAGAAATAGATAAAATTGATAAAACACCCTGTATCTCAGTTATAAACAGCCAAAGATGCATTAATGGCATGTTATTTAGATTCACCTCGGTGATCTCCATCCACACTTGTTAACGTATGTCCGTTTTCAAATGAATCACTGTATAAATAAATCATCCTTTTTAAACACCGTTTTTATTTTTTAGCAATTGGTCTAATTAACAGTGGAATTTATGATACTATAGTTTGTGGAGGTGTAGAATTTATGTCTGACATTCCTATTAGACATAGCAGAAAAATGAGAGGCCTATTATTAAAGGCTAACAAGGCAAAAAATCTTCAGCAGAGATTAACTCTACTATCTACTATTCGGCCCGATTTCTTTGCTCCAGATTTACCAAGTATTGCAGAATTTTCGTCTGGAGAAACTATGGGTCATTCAGCAGATAGGCATGTTAATAGAACTACAATCTCAATATATATCTTAAGTATCAATTTTTCTATATTTACAGATTGGCTGCTGCTTTTGGAGCAAGTCGCAAAGAACAAGACGATTTTGCATTAAGATCACATAAAGCTGCTCAAGAGGCATCTGATAAAGGTTATTTAACTGACATCATTCCATTCCAAGTACCTGGAGTTGTCAAGCCCGTAGAAAAGGATAATGGTATTCGTGTGTCAACTCCTGAAAAATTAGCTTCGCTTAAACCGGCTTTTATCAAACCCCACGGAACTATCACAGCAGCTAATGCTTCATTTTTGGTATGAACTAAATTACATTTATTCTAAACAATGTATAGTTTACAGGATTTGTTTTAACTATACATGCATTCACCTCCTTTTTTTATCTTATGATGTAGAGGTTTTTGAGACAAACATTTCTCCATGTTTTAAATAATCTGTCTTTGTAACAGAATTGGAATTATAATGTGTAAATTATGTATGATATGTAAAAATTTGTTGATATAGATTTATATCCTTATATTTTTTTTAGACTGATGGTGCTTCAGCTTGCATTGTAACAACAGAAGAAAAATGTAAACAACTAGGTCTCAAACCAAAAGCATATCTAAGAAATTTCTTGTATGTATCACAAGACCCTATTGACCAATTGCTTCTTGGACCTGCTTATGGTACACCCAGAATTTTGGAAAGAGCTGGTTTGACACCCAAGGAAATTGACGTTTGGGAATTCCATGAAGCTTTCGCTGTAAGTACAACTTGTCTAAAATATATTTCAGTTTTGGGAAAACAGCTTATTTAAAAACAGGTAGAAATATATTTCTTCTTTTTTGTTTATATACATTTTTTGATAATTCAGGGTCAAATTCTGGCAAACTTGAAAGCTTTGGACAGTGACTGGTTTGCTCAAAAGTACATGAATAGGCAATCAAAAGTAGGAGCTCCTGATTTAAATAAATTCAACAACTGGGGAGGTTCTCTTTCAATAGGCCATCCATTTGCTGCTACTGGTGTAAGACTAGCCATGCACACAGCCAACAGATTGGTAAGAGAAGATGGTCAATTTGGATTAGTAGCTGCCTGTGCTGCAGGAGGACAAGTAAGTAATTATTAGCTGGTATTTAAGATACTGGCAGTGTGACACACAAACGTTCATTTTTCATTATGAACACTAAATATTTTCATTTATTCAGGTAACAATGAACTTTCATTACTTTACCTATAATTTATTTGTAATTATTGCAGATTTTAAATGAACACTATTTTTTAGGGAGTAGCAATGATATTGGAGAGACACCCTGATGCTAGTCCCAACTAATGTTAATTTTAAGTAATATTTATATTAAAAGATTAGGGCGAAAATATTTTTATACAGTTATTTTTTAAAATTATATTACTAGAATAAGTCTAAAAAAATATAATAAAATTTTAAAAATAATAATTTAGTTATGTTTTTATGCCAAAAGGATACAGTTAATAATTATAAGATTTAATATGTGTATCTCATTAAAATTAACCCCTTTATTTAATACCTTTACGAATATATAAAAAAATAAAATTATAAAATAATCAACATGTATTATTAATACCTTTATTTGTAAAGTCAAAATAAATTTAAATTCATATTCAGTATGATAAGATTTACATTATACTCTAAATTCCCTAAAAAGGTAATTTGTTTATTTCTATAGAGTAAAATTATTTTCGAAACAACACAAAGACTATTGGTAGAATAACCAGTGACGGCTTGTCTTAAGGGCTATAGGGCTACAGCCTCCAGTACAAGGGGGAAACCAGTTTATATAAAATGAAAATGTATTATGTTGCCTACCTGTAATACAAAAAAAGGTAATCCATGTCTATTTATAACTTTCATACGGCGCCTTTTGCTTTGCTTGTTACAATCATAATCTGGTAGGCAGTCCCTGGCGTTGCTGGCTGGCAGGGCTAAAACTTGTAGCGCCCTGAATTAACGTATTCGGGCGTCAAATCGGGTGACGTCGCTCGCGATCGTAGATCTCGAATACGGAATTTGTACACGAAAGAGGGCTACGAAAGTGTCCGGCTTGCTCCTATGTAGGCAGTGATTTTATATCAGGTAGGTATGTCAATAATTTTTGTTTTGTGGATAGAAATTATGTTAAAAGTTGAGTTGAACAGGCAAAATAGTGCATTTATTTTTTTTTTTCTTGAAGATATGAGGTTGTAAATTGATATTTATAATGCTAAATTGACATTTATTGCACTGTTATGTAGAGGTTTTGAGCGACCACCTCTGACATACAATAAATATGTATAAAACAAATGTAATTATAATAATATTGTCTTTGCAATCGGTGATTTTTTCTTTTTAAATTTTTGCTGCCTACGTAAGGGTTCCTTCCTGTTTACAGAGTAGATCGTGAACAGTATTTTTTGATGAAATCTTTTAGAGTCGCGGTCATAAATTGCTAGATAAATTGTCTTGGAATGTAGAAATTAAAGTGATTGTTTCTGTCAACTGGTTTATTTTTTTTATTATTATTATTAATAATAAAGATCAATAAGCTGTAAAATCGATGAGATTGCTCTAGCATTTATTAACTACATGGTACATAACATTATAACATTAAGATATAACAGCAATTATCACAATACATTAACCTATATCACAGTTTATCACAAAAGATCAATTGGTATAGTGGACCAGGATGACCTCTGTGTGTTCTATTTTGATAAAAATGAAAAATTGTTGAGTAATTCTCACTAGTACATTTGAACGTTTCAATCAGGTCACTTCTAAGTCTACATTCTTTATGTGTTTGGAGTTGCAGAATGGAAAGCCTTTTCAAATAACTATACCCCTGAAGGGGTTCTAGTTACCTTTCTTTGGACCTTTTCCAACATTTCTATACCTTTAACCAGGGGCGGCTCGTGACCAAAATTTTGGGGGTTCACAGTAGCAGAATATAGATGTCGGTACAGATAAAGGTAAAAAACGATCAGTGTTTTAGAAAGGTATATTGTAAACTTTCTAAAACACCGAAAGTTTTTTTCATATACATACTGATATCTATATTAAAGGCAGTGGCGGCTCGTCACCTAAATTTTGGTTCCAAACTGGCATTGCAAATTCTATTTTGGGTCTTATAAAACTTTTGTATAGTTTGGCGATCGTCTCCTTTGAATGGTATTTGACTGCAATTTAGATTAGATAAATCATTGTGTGTGTCTTTTTTGTAATTTTAGAATTATGAGTTTCCCATTTTAAATCTGAAGACAAAAATGCCAAGATCTTTTTGAACTGTAACTGTTAGCAGAGTTTAACCATTGAGGTAATATACATTTTCTGGATTATTTGAGTCTATGTGTAGTATTGTACATTTATTATAATTTAGGGGGAGCAACCATTTATCTGACTATCTGCTAATTGTATCAAGATCTCGTTGTGAGACTTCTCGGCTTTTAAGAAGGTTGCAATATTTTGCATCATCTACAAAATATTCTGAAGGTGAGTTTATGTCATTGGCTAAGTCGCTAGTGTAGAGGATGAATAACAGTGGTCCCAGCACAGAACCCTGTAGTACCTCATTGATAACAGGATGATTTTTTGATAGTTGACCATTAACTTTGACACAGAACTGTCTATTCATTAAAAAATTCCGAGGTGTTCCAGTTTTAAAGTAGTAGTTGCATAGTCCAGGGGCCTATTTCATAAAACTACTTTGCAACTTTGCACTTTGTATATTTTACTAAATTTATGTTTCATGAAAGAGACATTTCATGAATTAAAAAATTAAATTAAAAAAAACTTTGAAAATTGATGGTAAAAAAACTAATAATCTGCAAAGTTAACGGTGTTATTTTATGAAACACAAATATTTTGTACTCTTAAATTTGCAAAGTGCAAAATGATAAGTTGCAAAAGTAGTTTTATGAAATAGGCCCCAGGTATATGACATCTGTTGGCTCACCATTGCCATGCCAAAGTTGTCCACTGATTCAGAGATGAGAGTAAGTTAGTTACTACTAATTGTTTTGGTAGAAAACCATGTTGTGATAGAGGAATTCATCTATTATTCAGACAAAAATTGGTGATATTATTTTCTCCATTACTTTGCAGTTTTTGCTTGTTAGACTTACTGGCCTATAATTTTCAGGATCATGTTTGCTTCCTTTCTTAAACAGTGGTATATTGGACCATGATGGACCACAATTGCATGCTTCCAGGTGTTAATGTTATAATTTTTGCATTTTATAACCACATAATATTTGTACAATACTTTTACATGTAGTTCAGTTTTTAAAACGTGCTAGTTTAAAACATCTTCTTATATTGTTTTAATGTTAAGAAATGCAACTGTTCGTGTAGATTAAAATTAGATGTTGCTTGTTCGGAGGTTGAAATGGATCTCGACGTATGTAGTCGTGTACTACCTGGTTATTTTAAAGTGTATACGTGACACTGGTGTGATTGGTTTAGAGAAAAAATCGTATGTTTGATACTGTCTTGAAGTGGTGTGGTCTGATCACACAGTTGGCTTGTTACTACTGTCGAATAAGTGTATATATTTATTTTAATCGTTTCTATGCGGGTGCGAGTGAAATAGGTCTGTGAGTGGAATGAGTTAAAACTTATATTTATTTAGGTACTTGGAATTTTCCATAAAGTGAATAAGCTATATTTCGCGCGGGATGCTACCTACTGGCAAGTGTTCTATGCCAAAGAAATGTTTTCCTTGGAACTTTGAAATACGTTAAACTGCATTCCTGCGTTTGCCAGGGTTGTGTTTGATTTTAGTTTTATTATGTATGTAATTGAAAGATGATTACTATTTTTACAAATTGAATAATGAAATTTATTGTTGTTTACATTATTACATTACATTATTCATACGGGGTGGATCATAAAGATAGTAACTGAAATATATGTTAAAAAATGCTTGTCATTTTTGAAAAATAATTTATATTTACAATAACAACAGCCTTTTTCTGGAAACACAAATACATTGTTAGTCCTACCTTTTGAAAGGCTCTATATTTGACAGTGAATGTCTCCGTTTGTATGTTACTTTTGTAAAATATTACTATTTGAGTAGGCAAATACCACAATTGGCCACGGTTATTACAGTTAACTCAATTTGACAATTTTTGGACGTGTCGTCTTTGAAAGAAAGTCTTCAATTCGTCATTAACAAGACGAACAGACGAGATCTCCAAAACTATAAGCCGACTTAAAATTTGGCGTAAGATGTATCTCAACTTTACAAGATTTGAGTAATTACATTTTAAAGATTTTTATTAACTTTCAAAGTTGCTTAAAAATGCTAATAACATAAAATATGTCAATATATAACATATTGAAATAAATATAAATTCCGAAAACGCCTTTTGATGGACCTAACTAAAATCCAGGAATTTTTGAGATATGCTCCTTAGTCACGTTAGTGACAAATTATACTCTCCCTATAATTCACTCCCTCAGGAATGGATTTTAACCCCATAAGCTGACTGATATTATTATTTCTCTTGGCACTCAGAGGCAACTTACAGATGATTGATGGTATCATTTGACTTACAGGTGAGGAAAACCCCACCCATCATCATTGAAAACGGTAACGCACTGAAATTTGGATGTCATATCCATATTAACAGAAATTAAATTGCTACTAATACATCCCCTATCAAATCCTACAATGAATCATGCAAATTAATTAAAAATTGACATGGTTTGGTCTAGGATCTGAAGCCATGTGTCGCTGAATTACTAAAAGGCCCTTAAATGAATACTGGCAGCTTGATGTAATGAGCAACCGAGATATATTGTAAAAATATCTTAGAAGATTAATTTATAATCTTAACTGCAGAGAAACTTGTCGCCCTAATTTTAAAGAAAATTTTATAACTAACTTCCATAAACTACTATTTATGTACACGAAAAATAAAAATGGCCAGGTAGGGGCGCTCTTTGTTTGCTTTGGGTTTCAGAGGGGCTTTTCTAACGTGGCTATATCTCAACATGAGGAAAATTTGTGTTAACATTGAAGACTACTGATCTACATTTTAAAGATATTGATCGTGGTGTCCCTCAGGGGCCAATTCTAGGCCCACTAATTTTCTTGTTATACATAAATGATCTTTCATCATAGATAAAAGCAGATTATACTGTTATGTATGCTGATGATAACACATTGGCAGCTGATGCTGAATCTCCTGCGGAACTTCTCTTAAAACTTAATAATTTAGCATATCAATTTACTGTATGGTGCAAAAGAAATTCCATAATATTAAATTCTAGCAAAACTGTTACGCAATTTTGTTCTAGAAATAGGATAACTGATCATATAAGTGTACAAGTTTTATCGGAGGACATTTCTTTCTCTCATATAACTAAGTTCCTAGGAGTTATGATTGACAACAATATGAATTGGGATTCAA